ATATATATATATATATATATTTTGTTAACTTATGTAACATTTTAAAGTATATTAAAATTTAGTTAACAAAAATACTCTCATATATTAAAAAAAAGGTATACTTCAAACACAAAAGTATTATAATAATTTTTATTTTTAAATCAAAATAAAAAATAAAAGAAAATCAGAAATTATTCAAATATTCTAAATCTTAACACTTATAATCTATAATATATGAGGATATTTTTGTCAACTAAATTTTGATATACTTTAAAAGGTTAGGTAAATTAACAAACTCTTTTATATATATATATATATATATATACTTAAAAACACACTTAATTATATTAAAAAAATTAAGTTTTAATTTAATTAACTAATGTATTTAATTAAATAAGTTAAAATGATTATTATCTCTACATAATACATTATTTATTACAACTACAATAATGAAAACATAACTTATAAATAGTAATAGAAGCGTGAACGATGTAATATCATCTTAATAGTAGAATAGTATGAGCAATGATTATGCAAACATGAGAAGATAAATTAAAAACTTGTATTTTGCAATCATACAACCATTGAAGATAAAAAAAAAGAAGATAAAATCATTTAGTCACGTGAAAATGAAGTTGATCGGTAGAATATTAATTAATAACTTTTTTAAATTATAAAAAAAAAGTTATATTTGATGTTTTTGATATGACCAATTTAAGTAGATTATTCAATAAAATTGACAATGATTTAATATATCTTTAAAGTGGAAACTGAATACAGTTACAAATTAAAAATTTCGGATATAAAATTGAGTGAAAAGAAATTTAAGGACAAAACTATCTATAATTAAAAATCAATGAACTAAAATTAGAAAAAAGCCATATTTAAAAAAGATATTGTGAATTTTATACACTGATAAACTAAATTTAGCATTAAAAAACTTATGCAAAATGGTATTCCACTTGCAGAACATGATCAATGAAGAGGAAGAAAGTGATCCCTAGGTAGCTAGCTATACAAATTACATTGAAAAACTAGTCTCTTGGTTTGATATTAATTTTGACTGGTTGGAACAAAAGCATTAGATTTAGCCGCGGATTCGGCCATTATGTTTTCTTCATGCATATTCCACACTTTAGGATGATACACAACATATCTTCTATTGCCAATTAAATCACATAATTTATTTTTCAATAATAAAGTACATATTTTTTTCTTTTATTGGAAGCGATATATACGGTAAAGATGATTTTACAAATATTTAATGAACTTGTGGTTAAATTATGGTGAAATAAAGAAGTAATAAAATAATAAATAAAAGTCATAATTTACATAGATAATTCTGAAATAATATGTCAACTTTAAAAAGGATTTGAGTAAGTTTTGAAGCGTTAGAAAAATATTTTATATGAGTGGACGGACTATAATGAGATAATCTCCTATGTTTTTTTTTTTTATAAAATTAGCTTTCAAAAAAATTTAAAAGTAAATATTTGATAATAAAGTGGGTAATATACACATAGATTTGAAAAAGGTGTGAAAAAAATGAATGCAATAAAATAAGATATGTTTTTGTTGTCTTTGCTCGTATGTGAAGAAATGTTGAGAAAATTATTTGTTAAAATATACATTTACGAACATAGACATGTTTTCACTATGCCTTATGCCTTCATTTTCATCGTGTCATTTATGGAGAAAGTGAGATTCGTGATGTTATGTTGACAAGGACCACTTGATTGTGGTGGTCATGGAGATGATTTGGTGGTGGTTTTAGGAGTGTTTAGAGTATGTATGAATTAGAGAGTGGAAAGACTAAAGCAAATAAGAGAAAGAGTATAAAATATAATTATCTGATTGAGAAAAAGCAAAAGAGGAAAATTTATAGTAAATTTGATTCATATGATAAAACAAGTTTCATTGTAAATTAATATATTTAGAAAATAAATTATAAAATCATTTTTAAAAATAATTTTATGTAAAAAATAAATTTTAAAAAATATAAATTAAAGTTAAATTCAATTAAAATTAAAATATATAATTATTATAAAATTTTAATAAATAATAAATTATATTTCATGATAAAAATATACTGAAATAAATTATTAAAGTTTTTAAATAAATAAATATTATTTATTTGTCACTTAATTTTTTTTTAATTATTTACTTATTTTAATATAAAACTTATATTAATGTTTCATGTTTTCAATATGTTCTTTTCCTTTTTCTCGAATATTTGGAGAGAAAGTTAT